CCAAGAGAACAGCATGGATTTGCCACTTCTCTGAAGAAATGACATCCTAAATCTTCCCTCTGCTGTGTGTCTGTGCTCCAGCTCGCACACAGAATTTATTACTGCATGAATCCTCTTGGAAACTGGATGGTGAGTGCCACTGAAACTGTGGTATGCAAGGGGGAAAACTAGATTTGAATCAGAAATCATTGTTTAACAGGACATTTGTAGTGCAGGGTCCTGAGGATCCATCCCAGAAATAAGGATGGGCAAGTTCAGGCTGTTCAAAAGATAAGATTTCTGGATTGAGGTTGCTATAAAATAGAATAGAAGCTGAGTTGGAGACCAAGTGCTCTGGGCACAGGTGTGGTTGCTGAGGCTCTCTCCCGTTGCTCATTTCCCGGGCAGAGTGAAGAGCAGCTGAGGAGCAGAGCCCTGAGCCCGTGGCAGGCTCTGAGGCAGCTGCCTGTGTGTGAGAGCCCTGGAGAACACGAGGCAGCACGGAGAGCAGGGGCTGTGGCAGGAGCTGGGACAGAGCCCGCGCCGGACGCTGCTCGGGCTCAGCCCGCGGGCTGCGCTCCCCTTTCCCAAGGGACCATTCCAGGGAACCTCCTGCAGATCCCAGCCCAGGGACAGCAGCTGGAGCCTGGCAGCTGAGGGCAGTGCACTGCGGGCAAGTTCTCCAGGCTGCCAGAGGAAACCAGGTCAGACTCTTCTCTTCCACCTTCGTCAGGGCCCCCTCATTGGGTGGAACCTGGTTATTGATTTTGGGGGCAGAATTGAGGCCTGTAGGGAATTAAGAGCTATAAACACTGTGGGAAAAGGGAGGGAATGTTGAAACGAGTGTCCTGCTGAAGGAATCCAGCAGCTCAGTGACATCAACTGACACCTGAGAGTCCAGCTCAGATCCATCCCAAAGCCATTTGCTCTCTGATATCTTCATGGGCAATTCCTTACTTCTCCAATTGTCTTTCTCCTCCAGCTGTGTCCTGTCCACAGCCAGGAAGGAGGTATCTCCCTGGCTTTTGTGCCAGGCACACAGGACCAGGCTCCCACATCCTCCTTGCCATCTGTCCTGTCCCTCACCCCTCCCTGTGCTGCTCTACATGGAAGCTGTGGGTGGGAAAAGATGGGAAAGCCACATTTGGGGGACAGCAGCGTTGCTCTGGTGTGTCTGTTTGTCAGCCCTGCAGCTGTGTGAGGGCAGGAGAAGCAGCAGAGGTGTCCCCATGAGCACTTTGTCCCCTGGCACGGAGGGAGCCAGCCCTGCCTGCTGGAGCCAGCCCAGTGGGAAGGCATCCCAGGGGAGCTGGAATGAGGAGAGCCACGACAACTGGAGCCAGTGTGACAGCAGGCAGTGGAGCAAAGTGCCTGTCCCACTGCTGCTGCTGCTGCTGCTGCTGCTGTGCCTGTGTGGGATGGTGGGAATGGGGCTGTGCTCTGGCTCCTCAGCCAACAGCAGTGCCCATCCTCTGATTTACCTCCTGGCTGGGAGCTGTGCAAAGGAATTCACCCCCTCTGGTAGTGTTGCCTTGCAGAGGGCTTTTGAGGCTTTTGTGCCAGAGCCAGGGAACAGGGACAACACAGTGGAATCATCATCAGGTGGAATAATCATGAAACAGCATCATCAAAGTATAGAACAATAAAATATCCAGAGTTGGAAGGGAGCCACAAGGAGCATGGAGTTGAGCTCCTGGCCCTGCACAGGACATCCCAACAATCCCAGCCTGTGCCTAAGAGCATTGTCCAAATGCTCCTTGAGCTCTGTCAGGCTGGTGCTGTGTGCAGCAGGGGAATTCCTGCCTGGGGCTGGATGCTGGATGTCATGAGGAATCCTCATGGAATGGTTTGGGATGTGTCCTGCTTTAGGCTACATTCAGGTGGAGGCCTCCAAATGAGATCTCTCTCGAAAACAAATTCAAGCAGCCCCTCCCTCCCCAGCTGGTTCAGGAAAAGATTTCCAGAGAGAAAAGTGGGAAAAACTGTTTATTTAACAAGCAAAGTATTTACAAGCATAACAAATGAAAGCAATATGAAACAATAAAATCTCTTGCTGTTCTGAAGAGTTGGCAAATTCAGACAGTCCTTGTTGTGGAGTGTAGGTTGGCTCACTCAGTCCCTTCTCAGTCCCTCTGGTGCTGGAAAATGCCGCGTCCCAGGCCCTGGTGGGCCACAGGTGTGAGCTCCCAGTGCTCTTCTGGGTTTTCAGTCCAGAGCAGGTTTGAACAGTTCCAAGCAAAAGGAAAACCACAGTCCAGGGAACTTCTCTGCCTCAGCCAGCTGAAAAAGCATAAAAGCAAAGGAGAGCTCTGTGCTGCATGTCTGTGCTGCAGACAGCACGGTCTGGGAGCAGGAATGGGGAGGAGTGAGCGCAGCTTCTGAAAACAAACTGCTGCATCTGCTCTCCCCCTCTTTGCTCAAGAACCAGTCTGAATTGTGCAAAACCTATTTCTGGGCTAAACAGATGAATGGGGATACAATTCAGCTCATAAAGTCACCCAGGACAGGTTGGAGGTGTGATAAATAGGTATGATTGATGCTGATAAAAATTGAAACAGTAATCAATATTGATACAGTAATTAATATTTGAGAATAATAAAATAGTTAATAGCTAAAAGTTGTAATGCCAAAGAAGAGAGGGAAAGGAGGGGCTCCACCCAACCCCCCTTCCCAGCAGATGTTTTCAAGGACCACAGGAAAGAAGCTGAAGATACTGTTGCTAAAAATGACCAAGAACCTGGTTGGGTCCAAGAAAATCCTAATTATAAGGGACTTATTGCTTTGATATGTAGATGCAGTGATACGTTAGTCTTGGCTTACATTGTACTGGCTTGGTGCGCATGTGCCACCCAAAGGTGAATTAAAGGACAACGAAGAAGACTACAGAGCCTTCATCAGTGACGACCCCCAAAGACTTGTGCGACCACCAAACCGAGTGGTGACGCATGCATGGTAAAGGTGGTGAGGAGGGCGGAGACAGAAAAGTGACGAACCAAAAATAGGAGGAGATGGTGTTGACACATGGCATATAAGGGGTGACTTTCACTTGGCAAGCTTGTACGTGAAGTGGCAAGGGTCATTGAACTCTGCCCTCCGTACCCCGCGGTTGTTTTTGCTTATGCGCTATTATTTGAACCAAATTATCCCTTGTTCATATATTTTCTAAACTATTTAATTAAAATTGTTACTACTTTTAATATTGTTTGGCCTTTTTATGATGGGATAATTGGGCAAACATAACAGAAGGAACGGTAGAGATAATCTCATTTCATCTCTCCTTTTGCCATGGGCAGAGACAACCAGAAAACCTTTTGCTTTGAAGTCTTGCTCTTTTGAAAGGAAGCTCAGGTGGGGAGGGCCTGGGTGGCATTGGAGACAAGGAAGGTGCTGGGAAGGAGAAAAAGTACATGGAAGGATAATGGTCCTTCTGCACTTGCCTTGGGAGGGACGCTTTGGGTGAGTTGTGCTTCCCTGGGCCAGAGGTTGTACCTTGGAAAGTTTTGTCTTTCCAATGGACAGGAAATGAGAATCAAGGAGAGAAAACCCCTTTCAGATGTCCAAGTCTTTCTCTTCTATAAATCATTAACAACACTGTTAATAAATGCTCCATAGCTGTTAAACCTCACGTGTGTCTCCAAAGCCTGACTCACCACCCAGAGCTTTCACTCTCACTTCCCTTTCCAGAAGCAGTGGCACATTGGTTTCCCCTGGATTTAAGGCAGTGGGAAAAGGAGGGACAACTTCCCCCTGAGCAAGAGATGTGGCTGCTGCCCAGGTCTGTGCCAGGAGGAATCTGGAGCTCTTGGCACTGCCAACATCATCCCAAGCATTGCAGGCACATGGCTTAGGAAGGGCTCTGGTATGAGACACGGACCTGCCCTGCTCCCAGAGCAGCCAGAGGCTTTAGAATGGGATAAAAGAAGGAAATGAGCCATTTTGGACACTGTTTAACAGGGACAGGCCCTGCAGTGAATCCTGGATGTTGTTTATTCAACAAATTCAGAGGCTGGAACTTCCAGAGTGGAATCAAACAAAAACCATGAATCCAAATCTGATTGAGGGGTAATTTCAGAATGACGAAGATCAGGACAGGCTGGGCTGTGGCTGGAGCTGCTGTGCAGAGTGGCTGTGCAGCTCCTCCTGAGGGTGGCCAGGTTCAGGATGGAGATGCTCAAGGGCTTCCCTGGACACTGATGCTGGGGAACCAGAGGATGGATGGCCCCATTCTGCAGAAGAGCAGCATAACCCCCTAATTTCTGTGCAATTCAATGGTCCAAGCATCTGGTGATGGGAATTTCCATATTCCATGTACTTTCCGGATACAGGCACTGGAGTTCAGTGGAGTTCACTATCGACCCTACACTTTACTCAGAAGGATTCAATTCTGGAATTCAAGAATGTGACAAATTCCCAGTGAAAGGATAAGGGAATGTTGCTGTCCCTCCCCAGCTCTGCAGCCCTACCTGGTGTCCCTTCCCATCAGCTGGGAATGCAGGGCTGGCTCTGCTGGACAGAAGGGGAAGGATGCTCCCAGTGATCCCAACCCCTCTCCTGCCATCCAGAGGCACCAGCCCTGCACGGATTTGGGAAATCACTGCCACTCCATGATGGGTGTGTCCCCAGGGATTAAGGTGTCCCATTCTTTGAGGCAAGATCTCCCTGAAAACACCATGGAACTCATCTGCTGAGGCAAAGGAGATGGAGTTCATTCCCTGGGGCTGAGGCCATGAGGGTCATTGCATGGGGAATAGAGCTGGGGAACAGCACTGAGCCCAGCTGCACTGCTTGGAGCCGTATGGATCCAGGAGGGAGGAGGAAAGCCATGCTGCAATGTGCTCCCTGCAGAGCATCCCACAAAAATCGTCTAAGGCAATGCTCCTGCTCCCTTCTTCTGCAGGAATACACCACCACAGGGAGGGTGATCTTGTGGATATTGATTAATCAGGAGGCTCAAGGAAACCTTCAGCCTCCTTGGGGCCTCCTGGGGTCCTTCAGGAGAGCAGTGGAAGGGATCAACAGGCTCAGACTGCTGTTTCTGTGCGAGACTTATTTCTGTGGTTTTTAGTTTTTTGCTGCTCAAAGACCCTCTGGAGGGAGCACTGGAGGGACCCCATCGTGCAGGGCCACCAGCACTGCCCTGCCAAGAAGTAGACGAAGGGTTTGATGCTGCTGTGGATGCAGTTGAGCAGGAAAACAACCTGGAAGGGCACAGTGAGGTAACCGAGCTGCTGCAGGAAATTCCAGAGGCTGAGAAAGAGAGTGAAGAGCACAGTGATGAGGATAACAATGTCGCGCCTCTTGGGCTGCTGCTGCTGGGAGCCCCACTTGGCCCTCATGAGGACGATTGTGCGGGAAGTGACCACGGGTACCACAAAGAGGAGCAGGATGATGGTGTATATGGAGATGAGAGCTGCCCGGCAGAGCTCCTGCTGGTGTGATGGGCACAGGAATGTCACTGTGGGAATGACAGCAAAGAGAGCAAAGAAGGCCCAGTATTGGACACTTCCCACCACCCACATCAGGTGCTTGGGAAGGCGGCAGCCGCAGCAGAGCTTGCAGAGCTTTTGCATAGACTGTGCAGTCCTTCGAGACACCAGTGCCCTGTAGTAGGGGACCACTGACAGCTGGAAAAGGAAACTCACGTACATAAAGGGCACAATAGGGGAGCAGGACACGTCCTCCACCAGGAAGAGGAAGGTAGAGGGGACTACAAAGAGGAGGAAGAGGAAGTCAATGAAAGCCATATAAAAGAAGTAACGATTACCCTTTTTCAGGCTGAGGAGCCAGAGCACAGCCCCATTCCCAGCCAGTCCACAGAGGCAGATGAGCAGGGTCACACTGTGTATGGCCACATCGGTGACATCTGTCTCACAGAGATCATCTCCTTCAGTGGGTGAGGCAGGAGATGGGGACACGGTGGTCACCTCCATGGATGGACGCTGGGCAGGCAGTGGGATGTGGCCCCTGGCTGTGGTCAGAGTGGATGGGCAGTCAGTGCTTGGAGAATCCAGGGATGGACCATGTGGCTCCTCGGCAGCTCCCTGCAGTGAAAAGTGTTCAGTGGGGAGGAGTGAGATGTGCAGGGGAGGAGGGCAGTGGGAATGGTGGGGTGGGAGGGTTGGGTTGTTCTGACACAGGGCAGAGGAGGGGGAAGCTGTGGAGGGCCCTGTGGTCACCGGGAAAGGGAGGCAGGCACAGAGCATCTGCTGCAGGAGAGGAAGGTGGGGTAGGGAGGAAGGCAAACATTCCACTGACCTGTTCCCTGTGGGGCAGCAGCAGGCAAAGGGGTCTGTGCAGATCAGTGGCGCTTCCTGGTCCCTCTTGCTCCTTTGGGTTCCGTGTCCAAAAGCGGCTCCTGGCAGAGCAGGGACATGAAGGAGAAAGTGCCCAGGTCACCAGGAGCTCCCCATTCCTGTCCCTCTGGCTCCTCTCCGTGCCCTGTCCTGGTGTTGCTCACCAGGAGTCATGGGGGGAGTTGGAAATTGCATCTTTGGCTACGTCAGAATGTCACTTCCTCTGAGTTTTTGGTCGTGGGGTTTTTTTTCAGACAGAGGAAGTGACTTTTGTCAAAAGCTTCAAATGAAACATTTTGCAAATGCCTCCCTATTTCCTCCTGATGAGAAACATTCCTTCCCTGGAGACTGTCCCTTTCTCCTACTGCCTTCTCTCTCCTGACAGACTTGTACCATGTCTTGTTTCTCTTCCCTTCGGGGTCACTGTCCCTCCAGCAGCAGAAGGATGCTGTTGGTGCTGGTGGCTCTGGAATGCTGGCAGTGCTGGTGAGGCAGCTGGGTATTTCTCAGTAGTAACTCCTGTTCCAGGAAGAACTCTGGGATCATTGCCAAAGACTTCCTATGGCCTGAGGAAGCTGATGTGAGCTGGTCCCTCTCCTCTCCTCTCCTCTCCTCTCCTCTCCTCTCCTCTCCTCTCCTAATCCCATCCCCACCCCACTCTCCAACCTCACCCCATCCTGTCACATCCCACAGCTTTCCCAGATGGAGCTGCTCCCCCACTCTGAGCGTGGCCTGTCAGGCTCTGCTCTCCTCTGCCTTTGCCAGCATCCAGACCCCCTGCAGCTCCCTCTGACCCTCTCCTGACCCCTCCAGCCTGCCCTGACACCCCAGAACCCACCCAGGGCTGACGTTTTTCCCTGACAGTCTTTCTCCTCCTCTGCTCCACCAGGGACTCCAGCAGTGTCCCTGCTCCTCTTGGCCATAGTGTTCTAGGACCCAGGAGGGAGGAGGAAAGCCCAGCTCCAGTGTGCTCCTCAGGATCACACAGGATGATAAAAGTGCCTGGAACTAATGTAGAAACAGATAAGGAGGCCTGCAATGGTGTCAGGGCAAGTGTTGTAACAAGAAGGCCAAAGGAAAAGTTCAAGGCAAGGTCACCTTTAATATCTCAGCACTCAGTGAACACAATCACTGAGGTTACCCCAGCCTTCAGTTTCATAATCCAGGTTCTCTGACAATGGTTGCTTCCAAATCCCTCGCTATGTTCCAAGTTGGTTTCCCCCTAAGATGTATCTACACCTGATGTAAACCTCTCCCCTTGCTCCTCCCCTGAGGTTATCCCCTTGGCTGGCTGTTTGTACCTGCCCACTGGTTTTGGCCTGCTATAAACCACTAGAGAGCTGTTCTCTCCCTCTTTCCCTTCCAAATCTCTGCATTAAAGGACTATTGGGAGACCAGGCCGGGATCATCCTTTGACTCTTTTACTTTAATCCCAGATGCTGGTAGAGTTAATCCCACTGTAGAGCTGCAGCTCTGAGGTTCGGCTCCTGGTGAATTCATCCTGGAGCTGTTCCATACACCTTGGCGTGGCTGCGGGTGTCCTGGAAGAGCAAGCTAAAGGCTCCAGTGGCTGGCATCAGCTGGCACCCAACGTGCGGCACCATTTGTAGCACCCTGCATTGCTAGTAGTGAAGTGCAAAGAAGCAAAAAGGGCCTTTGCACAGCATCCACAGATGTTTAATTCTGCTGTGAGGTGACATGTTCGGAGTTCCCCCCACCCACACACATGGAGGGTAGTCCAGGTTTTACTCTCTCGGGGCCTGGTGGGCTGACCCTGCTCTTGGGGCAGTACAAAGATCAGGGCCCATCAGGGAAAAAGCAGCGAGTGGCTCAGTGAAACCACCATCCCCTGCCCACCGTGGCTGCCCTGAGAGCCCCGTGCTGGCAGCGCCCTGGGCACCATCTGAGACAGACCCGGGAGGGGGCCGAGCTCCAGCACAGCCACCGGTACTGGCAGTGGGACAAACTTCACATGGCAGCACACCAGCACCAGCACCACATCCAGCACCAGCACCACACCCAGCACCAGCAACACAAACACAAACCCACTGGCAAAGGTAAAAAGTCCTTGCCATGAACATTTTGGGGACAGTAAAATGGATCAATGTGTAATGGATCAATGTGTACCCAGAGTGATAACAAAGATGTGTTTGTTCATCAGACTGCTACAAAGAATAACCCTGTGAAATACCTCCACAGTCCAGGAAATGGAGGAATTGTGGAATATAATACAAGGAAGAAAAGGCACCCAAGCAGCCAATGTGACAGGACCTGGTGGAGTTCCAGTGCAAGGTAGTAAACATGCACCAGTCTGCAAACCTGCAAAATATTATCCACACCATAGAAGTCCTCCACACACCTACCAAGGAAATAGAACCCCAAACCAACAACCATCAAGTCCCAGCAATACCCTAAAAGGAAGAAGAACACAGAACACCAATGAGGTGTCCAGCATCCAAAAGTCCAGGTTGATAATGAAAGAACCTTCCAGTCCAATGAGTCCCACTTCTAATACCCTTCCTCAATTCCTCCCTGCTAGTAAAGTCCAGTGGCCTCCCTGCCCCCCTCCCACTTTTTCCTTTTCCTTTCCATTGTCCTATTACCCCTTTTTTATTTTCCCACAAATTCCTACCACCTTTCCCCCCTTTCCATACCCTCCCTTAACTAATCCCTTACCCCAGAGTTCCTTAGTAATATCAGAGGGAGGGTAATTGGGAGGGAAAGAAAGGAAAGCTCCCCTAAAGTAACCATCTTTTTCTGAAAAGTTAATGATTTCTATTTGGAGTTTCCAGCAGGCACACCAGCACCTACACTGCCTCGTACAGAGCCAATTACAGCCAGCAACGCTATCACACGTAGCAGAGAACCAGTCTCTGCTGAGGGAACCTTCTCCTGACTCAGTTTCCTGATAAACCGTACTAAGAAAACCCTGCATTCCTCCTGCCAGCTCTGAGACACTCCAGGAAATCTCTTTGGACATTGAGAACTCAGAATAGTTTGCATTTTGAAAATTGTCTTATGCGCGGTTTTGATTGTTTTTGTCATTTTGTGTTAATTCAGTTAATCCTTCAGAGAAGCTTTCTTAATAATATAAAAACTGGGAGTTGTGGAGGCCCTGGGGAGCATCCCCTAAGTTAGGGAGACACAAGAAGTTTTCATGAAAGCTGTTACACCCCACTGGCTCTTTCCCCTGTTCCTATGTCTGGAAATGAGTTCTAGGAAAGTGATATGTATGTATTAGATAATAAACACACTTTAATGACTGTATGGTTATGATGGATAAAGTCTCACTGCACACAGATCAGGGAGAGATCCTTCTGTGCAGGTAAGGAATTCCTGCTTTATAATGCTGCTTCCCATTGTGTTAGAAAGTTTATTTCAGCTGATTTCTGTGTCAAGACACAGAGGGGAAGCACAGGGCAGAGCAGGGGGCAGCTGGGGAGGGCCCTGCGGTCACCGGGAGAGGGTGTCAGGAACAGAGCAGCTGCTGCAGGAGAGGAAGGTGGGGTAGGGAGGAAGGCAAACATTCACTGACCTGTTCCCTGTGGGGCAGCAGCAGGCAAAGGGGTCTGTGCAGATCAGCGGCGCTTCCTGGTCCCTCTTGCTCCTTTGGGATCCATGTCCTAAAGCGGCTCCTGCCAGGTCAGAGACATGAAGGAGAAAGTGCCCAGCTCACCAGGAGCTCCCCATTCCCGTCCTGCTGGCTCCTCTCTGTGCCCTGTCCCGGTGTTGTTTTCCAGGGCTCGGTGCAGTCACAGGGCAGCTGGAAATGGTTTTGCATCTTTGGCTTCCACGGAGTTCCACAGCCTCGGACTTGTTGATGTTGATTTTTTTCATTTTCCCTAGGAATCACGTGATCATTTTCTTTGTTGTGAGAAACGACGCCTCACTTCTCAAAATTTTAAAAATTTATTAAACTACAACAAGGGACAAGGTAAAAGGAACAGTGCTCAGTGCGCACTAGAATTCAGAGGCACGGCCAGAGGCACACGGCCCAAAACAAAAAAAGGCTTTGTACCCGCTTGGTAAACCACCCCCCGATAATCCATTCCCCACATTCAGACACATTCCGCTTTTCCAACACAGCTCCTCCTCCCTCCCGCCTTCCCCGAGCTTGTGCAGCGCTTCGGGCTTCGGCTCCCCACAATGGTCAGAGATCAGCATTACAACTCTCAACATGAACACAGTACCTGTGATCCCAACATCCCAACCCCTCTCCTGCCATCCAGAGCAGAGGCTTGAGCCCTGCTGAGATTTGGGAAATCACCGCCATCTCGTGCTGGGAGTGTCCCCAGGGATTGCAATGTCCCATGTTCCATGAAACCGTGAAACTCATCTGCTGAGCGAAAGGAGATGGAGTTCATTCCCTGGGGCTGAGGCCATGAGGGTCATTGCATGGGGAATAGAGCTGGGGAACAGCACTGAGCCCAGCTGCACTGCTTGGAGCCATGTGGATCCAGGAGGGAGGAGGAAAGCCATGCTGCAATGTGCTCCCTGCAGAGCATCCCACAAAAATCGTCTAAGGCAATGCTCCTGCTCCCTTCTTCTGCAGGAATACACCACCACAGGGAGGGTGATCTTGTGGATATTGATTAATCAGGAGGCTCAAGGAAACCTTCAGCCTCCTTGGGGCCTCCTGGGGTCCTTCAGGAGAGCAGTGGAAGGGATCAACAGGCTCAGACCACTGTGTCCATTGTAGGATCATGGCTGTGGGCAGTGTTTTCTTCTGCCTCCTCAAAGACCCTCTGGAGGGAGAGCCAGAGGGACTTTATGGAGCAGGGCCTCCTGCACCTCCCTGCCAAGAAGTAGATGAAGGGTTTGATGCTGCTGTGGATGCAGGTGAGCAGGAAAACAACCTGTGAGGACACAGTGATGTAACCGAGCTGCTGCAGGAAATTGCAGAGGCTGATGATGAGAGTGAGGAGCACAGTGATGACGATAACCATGTCGCGCCTCCTGGGTTGCTGCTGCTGGGAGCCTCGTTTGGAATTAATGAAATAGATTGTGCCAGAAATGACCACGGGTGCAGTGAAGAGGAGCAGGATGAAGGTGTACATGGAGATGAGAGCTGCCCGGCAGTGCTCCTGCTGGTGTGATGGGCAAAAGAATGTCACTGTGGGAGTGACGGTGAAGAGAGCCAAGATGGCCCAGTATGGGATAGTGTCCACCACCCACAGCAGGCGCAGAGGAAGGTCCCATCGGCAGCAGAGCTGGCACAGGTTGTGCATATACCACACAGGGATGCTGCTCATCAGCCTGAACAGCACCCAGTAGTAGGAGACCAATGACAGCTGAAAAACAAAGTTCATGTACATCAAGGGCACGATAGGAGAGCAGGACACATCCTCCATCAGGCTGAGGAGGGCAGAGGGGACCGCAAAGAGGAGGAAGAGGAAGTCAATGACAGCCAGGTCAAAGAAGCCAGCATTCCTTCTTTTCAGGCTGAGGAGGCCGATGACAGCCCCGTTCCCAGCCAGCCCACAGAGGCAGATGAGCAGTGCCACACTGTGTATGGCCACATCGGTGACATCGAAAACACAGACATTGTCTCCTTCAGTGGGTGAGGCAGGAGATGGGGACACGGTGCTCACCTCCATGGATGGATGCTGGGCAGGCAGTGGGATGTGGCCCTGGCTGTGGTCAGAGTGGATGGGCAGTCAGTGCTTGGAGAATGCAGGGATGGACCATGTGGCTCCTCAGCAACTCCCTGCAGTGGGAAGGATTCAGTGGGGAGGAGTGAGATGTGCAGGGGAGGAGGGCAGTGGGAATGGTGGGGTGGGAGAGGGAGGAGGGGGCATGGGCTGGTGTGCAGGGGATTGATAAAGAAGAGAGAATAAACATTTTCAACTCTCTTGAAGTTGCTTAAAGACTAACTGGGCAAATAGATAAAAATATGTGGAAGTGTGGACCCTGTGTGATAAACGTGCCTGAAGCCAGCGCAGACAAACATAAGGAGGTCCGCATTAGTTCTGGCAAAAGTTCTGTAAGGAGAAGCAAGAGCACATGGCCAAAGGAAAAGTTCAGGGCAAGGTCACCACCAGAGACCCCTCTCAATGAACCTCCAGGGCCATCAGAGGACTCCCAGTAGGAAGTGGATGCATGGAAATTAGTTCTAGGAAAATGGTATTTACATTTATGTTTAAGGTGTTCTTTAGATAAGAAAAACTTTTTAATGTCTATGCATCGCTGGCCAGGGGTATATGTACAAATCACAAACGGGATGGGACTGCTGTGAAACGTGCCTTGAGCTGTTTTATTTTTCAGCATCAGTCTCATTACATTGTTATGACAATGGGAAGATGCCACCAGCTCACATCCCAGCAGCAGACTAAGAACTTAATGTTACAACTTAGTTTATAAGCTTCTTGACATATCACACAAAGCAAAAGCATATTGACATATTAGCTTTATCTAACTACTATAAGCACACATACCTTTAGTTAAAACAATGCTTTCTTATTTCGAATACAATACTTACTTGTAAGCCTTAAAACACAATGCACAGAGCTCTATTATTAAGCTTCAAACTTCTTAATATCTTGCTAGATAAACTTTTCTGTAGCTTAGGGAATTATTCTAGACAAGCATTAATGCACAGACTACTGTTGTATTGGTCCTTGCTTTCCTACTTTTTAAATAATTTTTCTGCTGGCCTATCTCATGGCTGCTGCTTAGCTCTAATCACAGTTCTGTCTCTGAGGCCTGCCTTTTGCAGCTTTCCCAAAACCCTCTGATTTTGTGGATTCCCACATGCATGTATGGTAATAGTGAATAAAAACACAGTTGTAAAGTCTCACAACACACACAGAAATAAGGAGAGATCCTTCTGCGTGTCCTGCTGCCCAATACTTCACTTGGTAACACCATTGGTGTTAGGAACTTATTCTGTCTGATTTTGGTATCACTCCTCATCCATGCCATGCCATGCCATCCATTCCCATGCCATGCCATGCCATCGCGATGGGTTCCCGGTCCCTGGCCTCTCCCTGGCTGCAGGTGTGGCCTGTTGGGCTCTGCTGCTGTCCAGTGGCAGATTTGGGATTGGTGGCACCCAGAGCCCTCCTGCCCCCTCCAGCCCCTGTCTGCCTGATGCCTTGGGCTGGCTCCCTGGAACAGAGGCCAGAGCAGGTGAAGAGAATAAAAGGAGGCTTTGATGAAAGGCCTTCAAAAGGTTCACCTTGGGCTCTCAAAGCCTCCGAGAGGGGATGCGCCCAAAATGGACAATGGTCATGAGTTTTTCAGATAGATATAAGTTTGGTCCATTTACAAATCAGGGATTAATCCTCCAATTACAACTTCAGGTAATGAAGTCATTTAGCCCCAGTTTGCCCTCCCTCAATTCACTTCTGTCTATACTTTTCTGGGCCTGAGGCAGTACAGAAATGCAGGCCTAATGGGATTGTTTTGTCTGACCAAAATGTGCAGACAGTTAACTAACACTTTCCATGGAGCTTAGAGTTATGCACTAATGCAGTACAGGATATGAAAAATAGAAAGGCTAAGATCCTAAGGCATCATGCCCCCTCTGACATCCTCTAGAAATTCCCCCCAGGCTGCCTTCCCCTGCAGACAGCCCCGCTCCTCTCCTGCCCCACTCAGGAGCCCCAGCAGTGTTTCTGCTCCTCCTGGCAATTCCATGCTTCTCCAGCCCAATGAAGAGCAGTGGAGCCATCCCTGTAGTGCCTCTTGTTTGTGTCCAGAGGAGGTTGGGGGGCTGGAGAGCAGGGATGGAGCTGGGAAGGGGCATCTCCAAGAGAAAGACGGCCCCAAAGCCTTCCGGGGCAGGCTGGGGTGAGCAGCCCGTGGGGAGGGAGTGGAGCCTGAGGCCCGGGGCTGGGAGGGATGGGAAGGACGGGAGGTGGGTGGGCTGCATGGGGAGTGGGATGGGAGGGTGGTGTGGGAGGGGTGGGACATGATGGAGCTGCTGGGAAGATGTGGTGGGAAGGTGTGGGGTGTGGTGGGGCTGGAGAGAAGGTGTGGGGTGTGGTGGGTCTGGAAAGAAGGTGTGGGGTGTGGTGGGGCTGGAGAGAAGGTGTGGGGTGTGGTGGGGCTGGTGGCCTCAGGGAAGCCCCAGGGAGGGGGGTGATGCCCGTGGAGCCCATGGTGACAAACACAGGTGCCACCCGGCTCCTGGAAGGGGGTGGCTGTGCTGAGGATCACGGCCTCCTCCTCTCCTTGCTGCTGCACCTTCTGAGTCTGCTGAGGGAGCAGCTGAAGGAAGTGGAGAGGAAGAATTTCTGAAGGCAGAGACATCTTTGCACCTGGCTCACAAAATTAAAAATTAAAGGTCTTAGGGGATATCTCTGCTGTGACACTCACAGAGCACTCGGGGTGGGGAATGCTGAGCCCCTGGGCCATCATGTCTGTGCCAGCCCAGCTCTTGGCACTGGGGATCATGGTTGCTCCAGGGAGGATAAACCATGGCTGTGTCCCCTCTGACACCAAGATGTTTAAGCCTAACAGCAAAACTGTGTTAGACTAGTAACAATTTTGAGTCAAAATTGTGGACATATTGGAAATTTATTTGCCAGAAATATGTCCAAAGAAACAACAATTTTCAGGCATTTTTATACACTATACTATCCCAGACTATTTATAAATACTCTCCAAAGTACTCTCAATATATTATATTTTGATATCCATCTTTTGTTTGTTTTAATTCCTACCAGAATATGCAGTCTCTCTTTGTTTAATGGATAACACGGGTCGTTTCCAGGTTAACAGTTTTTACTTGGCAGTACTTCAATGCTGGTGAAGAATGCCCTCACCCTGTTTCCCTACACTGTTGGTGGGAACGAGGGAAGGGACCAGGGGAAAAAAGGGTGGTTTAAAGCTTTGTTTTGTTTCTCATTATCGGCCTTTAAATCTGTAATTATAAAATCACTCAAAAGCATGAAATTTGAATCCGTTTTTCTATTCTTGGAGTGTTTTTTCTCCCAGTCCTCATCTCAACTTATGAGCCCTTTGTTAATTTTTGTTTCCCTCTCCTCTGCCCAGCTGAGAGCAGGAGAAGGTGAGTGAACGGCTTTCATGGGTGCCTGGCGTGTGACCAGTGCCAAACCACGACAGGCTTGCAGCAGGTTATCAGCATCAGAGCCCACATTTATTACTGACAGTACCCCTGATGATGCAATAAAAGTTATTGGAGACCAGATGCTGGGGTGCTGGGGTGCCCCTTGCAGCCCTTCACGAGAGTTCATCCTCCTCCCCCTCAGCCTTGGGAATACCTGTGGTTGTTTTTTCCTGATCTCACCCTTTGCAAGCAGGGACACCTTCCACTAGACCAGGCTGCTTCAAACCCCATCCAGCCTGGCTTGGAACACTTCCAGGGATGGGGAGTGGGCCAAGGGCTGGGCCTGGAGCCCTGGGGGGATGGGCCCAGGAGCCGTCGGCGTTCAGGGATCAGCCCAGGGCAGCAGCCGGGAGAGATCCCAGCTGGGAGAGGCCCCAGTGCCAGGGAGCTTCTGCTCAGCGCTGCTGGGCCCAGCAGAGCTCCAAGGCTCTCCTTTGGGGCCGCTGCTCACAGGGCCCCAAGGCATGGGCGGCACTCACAGCAATGGTTCAGCCTGGCCACACTTGGGGCCGGCAGCTTCCTGGGACAGTGGCAGAGCAGGGATGCTGTGGCATCCAGGGCAGTACAATAATTTGCAAGGCTGTTGATGAAAGCCCAGGAGGTGGTTGGACAGCAGCAGTTGCTGGGAGCAGAGGGTGTTTCTGATCAGCGCCACAGGAGCTGAGCCCAGGGGCTGCTCCTCAAGGCTGAGGCCTCCCAAGCACGGATCAGAGCCCAGAGCGACCTGGAAAGGGCCTGGGAGGCACCAGAACAGGGAGGGTGATCCTGTGGGTATTTATTGATCAGGAGACTCAAGGAATCCCTCAGCCACTGTCCCAGGGTCCTTCACCAGTGTAGTGGAAGAGATCAACGGACTCAGACCCCTGTGTCCACAGAAGGTTCATCTCCACAGTCAGTGTTTTCTTCTGGGTCCCCAAAGACCCTGTGGATCGCCTTCCTTAGGGACTGGATGGAGGAGTGCTTCCTGCAGCCCTCCATGGAGCAGTGTCTCCAGCAGCTCCCCATGGAGCAGTCTCTCTTCCAGCTCCCCACCAAGAAGCAGATGAAGGGTTTGATGCTGCTGTTGATGCAGGTGAGCAGGAAAACCACCTGGGAGGGCACAACGGTGTAACCGAGCTGCTGCAGTAAATTCCAGAGACTGAGGGGCAGACTGAAGAGTGCAACAAGGAAGATAACAATGTCAAGCATCTTGAGTGGCTGCTGCTGTAAGCCAGGCTTGCGATGAATGAAGAGAATTGTGCTGGAAATAACCATTGGTGCTGCAAATAGGAAGAGGCTGAGGGCGTACATGGAAGTGAGAATCACCCGACATTGCTCCTGCTCGTGTGACTGGCACAAGGAAGTCACCGTGGGATTGACAGCGATGACAACAAAGAGGAGGGCCCAGTACAAGACACTCATCACCACCCTCAGCAGGTGCTCAGGAAGTTGGCAACCAAAAAAAACAGGCAGAGGATGGACCTGCACCTCTCAATGCTGATGAATGTCAGCCGGTACAGCCCTATATTGTAGGTGAACAGTGAC